GTATGTACGTAAGTATGTATCTCGCATAACTCAAAAACGAGCAGCTTCAGAACGTTGAAATTTTGTACGTATATAGGGACTGCTATAACATGTAGATGTGCACCTCGTATTTTGGTTGCAATCGGCCGCACAAACAATTCTTTTATACATAGTAGCTTTGTTATAGTATTTGAATAGAACATGTGGCAACGATTAGATAATTCATTAAATGATATAAATTTTGTGCATTCTGAGTTATAATATGAACGAAATATAATACTAGCGCCAGACTGTCGCTGTGGTAAACAGAATAAATTTTAAAGAATGCATTTATTCTATTGTGATTTATGCGCTGTCGGCGAAGTAGATTTAGATCAATCCAATAAGTTTAAATGAAATGCAAGAAAAAATGCGGATAATTTAATATTCCGTACAAGGATGTCATGTGGTGTACACATCAGATTTTTTTCTAGTAATAGAACATTAAATTTGCGGTGTCCACGGAGTTGTGTTACCGTGGGATGGTCCTCTTTGGCATCTCCCTGCTGGGTTGGCACTGAATTCCGTATGGATATACACAGATGGGTATGGGTATACACGGACCGCACACCACTCTCTCCCATTCCAATTCATAAATCTCTCATGTTTATAGTAAAGTTACTTACCACTTAAATCTATATAAATTGTGGAATGAGTGAAAGTCATGACGAAAGGAGGTAGAAAGGAAAGAAGTAAATCAAGTAACATTTCGTTAGTAAAGCTTCAACATAAATGTCAGAAGTTCAGCCTGTTATATACACTTAATTTCAGTTGGAATTAATAAACCATAAAAATTTTGCTTACTAATACGATTCATAGCTTCATTGAATCCGATTTCAGTTGAGCAGGGCATGAGGAAACGATATCACTTAAGGGAGCTCATACACCTTAAACCCCTTATGATCTTCGAATATGTGATTGTTGCAAGAATTGGAATAACTTATTTATTTTAAAAGTAATTACTTCCAACTTTTTATGACTGACTACATAATATAGCTGCTTTCTGAAATCGTAATCAGGAAGTTTGTGTTGCCACAAATATTTTTGTAATTTAATTCGTTTTGTGGCAAAATGTTTCGTCATGTTTCCACCTTGCGCGCCCAGTTTAAAATTATCTGTTGCAAATATTTAATTCCATAGTTTCATATCTTTTATAACATTTGGAAAACTACTGTAAACCAAAAACCTGAGAATTTCATGTTATTTTTTTTTTATTTGGACTTCTAAAAATTTCTTTAAATTTTTATTTATTCGGAGTGGTTATAAAATGTTTATTAAAAAAAATCTGTAAGTTTCGTGGATAAAATTTTTTAGTATTAAATATTCATCAGACTTTATTTCAGTTAGAAAATGTGCCGATATAAAGAATTCCATCAAATTTCAAGTATGTACCGGTAGCCATTTTTAAAATATCGTGCGCGCAGGTGGAAATGACGAAATATTTTTCCAAAGGGATAAGTACAAAAATATTTGTGGCAAACAAAACTTTTGGTACAGTCCAAAGCAGCTATATTATGTAGTCAGCTGTAAAAATTTGGAGGGAATTACTTTTAAAATAAATAAAATATCTCCATTCTTGCAACAGTCGCATATTCGAAGCTCATAAGGGGTTTAAGGTGTATGAAACCCCTTAAAGCCATATTATAACAATACAGGGCTAACATAAATGATTCAGTCATTTTGAAATGGCTATATTTTCAAAAGTATTACGCGTACATACATTAAAAATATATGAAAAGAACCACAAATTCACCAAGTTTTTCGGATAACCGGAAGGTTGCTTCATCGCTGAATATCATATTGGTGGTGAAACCTTCGTCCTCCAAATTTGACGTCAGAATCTAGTCTACAGGCGAAGTCCTACGGATTGAATTTTTATAGGAGCTGCACATGGTACGGTTTTGAAATGCAACCATTGACACAAAAACTTCCACACAGTTTCTTGTGGTATTCCGAACGTCTGGTCATTTGAGTGGACGAACATCTGGACAATAATGCTACAAAGTGTATGGAATGAGCTCGATTATCGTCTGGACAGTGTAAACCAAAAATATCGCAGACGGAAACATCGCTGAGAAAACAACGTGAGGCGAAAGCGTCATGGTACAAAAAACATCGTAGGAGAAAAGAAAGCGAAGAGAAAACATCGCGGCACAAAATATCGTCATCGAAAATACAGCAGTTCGAAAACTTTGCAGTTTAAAAACATCGTCGTGGAAATTATCGTGGTAAAAAAAAAGCACCTACAAATCATCGCATGACGATAACATCGCACACATTCATGTTTCATGTTTAAAAAGCCGTAAATGCATTTTCGCTTAATGACTTGGGAGCACAAGAAGAAAAGAAAAGAATTTTCATTTTTGCGTTTCATAATTTTCAATGAACTAATCAATGGTTGTGTGAAAAAGCAAGAAGGAAACTTAAGCATTTAAAAAATTGAAAATGAGTAGAAAATTTAATGAACTTACGCTTATAGAATTTAAATTACTAGTGAAGTACAAGATTATAATAATTCATTTTATTAATGTTTTACTCATAATTTGATTAAAAACACAGCCTAAAAATGTTTAGGAAAGGAAGAAAAACATGCACGAGGTTACCTCTTAAAATAGACTTAGTTAATTTTAAAATACTTCTTTCCATTTTAATTGAAGTGTTTTGATGAAAATTCATTATTTGTTTTTTTTTAGTCTTAAAGTGTCGTTAAACATTTCTTAAACTTCCAAATCTTTATGCGAATATGCATTTATAACTTTTAAAACCTGAAAAACGTATGTGTGCGATGTTATCGTCATGCGGTGATTTGCAGGTGCTTTATTTTTTACCATTTTTTTAAATTGCGAAATTTTTGAACCGCTTTATTTTCGACGATGCTATTTTGTACCCCGATGTGTTAGAATTGCGATGTTTTTTCTTTGCTTTCTTTTCTCCCACAATGTTTTGTACCACAACGTTTTCGCTTTCCTCGGCGACGTTTTCGATTGTAACCGTCACGGGCGTATACTGAACACTTGTAGAGGGATGTATGAACTTGGCGAGTTTGTAGTTCTTTTCATATATATTTCGTGTGCGTACTTGAAATACTTTTGAAACTATAGCTTTTCCAAATACAGTTTATTAACATCATTCTCGCATCAGCTAGTTTAAATCGTCATTTGGACGAAATTTACTGAGGCTGACGAAATTAAAAATTAAAGCTGCGAAATAAAATTTTAAAAATGGGCAGAAAATTCAAAGTTAATAATGACACAGCACTATTTCATGGCATTGTTTTCAGATTTTTAAAATGTCATTTACGAATTTAAGTAGAGAATGTCTTTCTAAATGGGAATAAGCATTCATCTTGAAGTAGAAAATGAAAACGTTAAATTTTTATAATAACGTAAAATATCTCGGTGTTATCCATATTTCCTAAGGCAATATCGAATTGTTTCATTTTAAGGGAACGGTGGATTTTAAAATTTATTTTTTTTAATTTTTTGTGTTTTCAACAAGAAATTTTATACATCTACGTATAATAACATCAATACATTTCAGTTAAATAAAAAATTATAAAATATGATCAAAATTTCAATTATTTAAATCAAAATTTTAAAACAATAATATTTTAATTAAAGATTTAAAATGCGCCTGCGGGCTATTTTCTATTTTTTCCTTTTTCTTTAAGTTATAAAGACTTGACAAGTTTTGTTATCCAATGATATGATGTAAGAATTGGATAATTGGGAATATGGTAACAGGTTAGTCGGGACATTTTGGTAAGGCGAGAAATAGCTAGGACTTAGCAGTGTACATGGATAAAGTCAGAGTGTGCTTAAGCCATTTGGGCAAGTCGGGATGTTTTTTAAGTGAAATAGGGTCGAGGTAATGGATAAGGTATGTGCATTCTTAAAACGCGGCAAGCAGTGGGCGTTCTACACTTTCTCCCAATCGCGCCTAATTCGTCTGATCAAGCACTTTGTTCATAAAAGTTTCTAGCATAAGAGTAATTCGGCAGCAGATTGATGTGAAAAAAAGTTGAGTTTAAAAAAAAAAAATGCATTACTTCGTGAAAACAAAAATGGCGTCCAAAAAAAAAAAAAAAAACTAGCGTTGCTGTAGTAGAGGTTGGTCGCCAAAAATCGCCAAGTTACCATAATCCAAAGATTAAAAAATATCTATTGACCGCTATTCGAATGCATTTAAATGATGTTTTATGTGACTAGTCTGCTGTTTCAAATGTAAACAATCAATGGCCGCCATATAAAAAGGCTTAGCGGCCTTTAACAATTTTAAATGTGATAATATAAAAATATTGATACAGATTTACTAAAGCATAAAAACCTTAACCGGAAATAAGAACAACATAAATCAATCATTTTTAAAGAAAAAAATGTACAATTACAACACATAAAAGTAAAAGAAAATGAGATCATGAGGGCGGGTAATAGAGGGATATAATATAAATATATTTATATACGTTTGTCGCGGCCATTGAAACCAAAATACGAGGTGACATCTAATGTTATAGTAGTCCTAAATACAATTGCAACGTTATGAGGTACTGTTTTTGGTTATGCGAGATACGTTCGTACAGAGCCACGAAAATTCTCTTCGAATTATTTTAAAGCAGTTTTTATAATTTTTGGAGGAAAAGAGTGTTTATTCTGTCCTTTACAGATATCAGGCCAAAAACATCGTTAATTGCATTCGATAGCGGTCAAAATGGATATTTTGGTTGAAATGCTGCCTGAAACTTTTCGCGATTACAATACTTCCTTTTTATTCGTAGAAGGAAGTAATAACCTAATGACACTACAGCACTTAAATGATGAATATTGCATAATCACAAAATGATAAAGAAAACCGCTGAAAATAATTTCAAAGAGCATATAAACTGTTGCGTTAAATTGGTAGAGAGCAGAGTGCTTAGAGTTAATCCAAGATGGCGTCAAAAAGGAATTAACAACGAAACTGAAATGCAAAGGTGTCAAACTTACTCTCGTTGCAATAGCGACCTCTCCATCTTCCAATACAAGAGCATGACCCGTCGAAACGGTTACAATGCCCACCGTTATAACAGTTGCATATTCCAAGGCAATTCACGCCAAAATTGTTTGGCGGACACCCTAGAAAGAGATCACATGTTTAATGAATTTTAGCGTTAACTCAGATGTTATATAAATTATGAATGCATCAAAATAAGAGAAGTTTTGTTTACAGTTTTCGCTCTGGTGATAAAGATTTCTTCTACAACATAATTTACAAACTTTTAGAACAACTTGTACACAGTACTAGTATGTTCTGGTTCGATGACAGAATTCATTTCACAATAGAGGAAAAATTGGTGGCTAAGAAGTTGCTTTTGAATAATTTACTCTTTATTCCACAGTTTAAAAAAATATTATCTTCAGAAGGCCGAGATTTGACATTTCAATGTAGTCAAAGTGTAGGTCTTTATGAAGTCTTTAAGTATTCCCTAGAAACAGCAATTCCTCCTGTATCAAAGAAATTTATGCAGTTAAAAGATTTGCGCGAAGGAGGAAACTTGACATAAGTGATAAGCAAACTACAAACTGGTAGTAATCATTCTTTTTATTGAGCATACAGGCATTAGAAAGCAGTGGGTGCAACGGTCGTATTTATGCCCTACTGCAGTAAAGTGAACAGGAAGGTAGTGCCATCTGTGGGCAAAATTAGTAACTAAAAATTAAAATTAATTTAATAGAATTTTAAAAGCGTTAGGAAAGACTGGATTGGACTTAAAATCATTAACTAAACAAGCTAAATCTTTGTGAATGTGAATTTGAAGTTTCGTATGAAGGAACGTGAATCTTATGCCCGAAAAGACGGAATTAATAAGTCTTCAACAGCTAATCATAGTTGGGAATGTAATTATAATTCCCATTAGTTGATTTTGGGTCTTCAAAAATTATCCAAAATGTTTCTTCCATTGCCGAATTAGGTTTTCTTGAAGCTTTTCACATTCACAAAGATTTAGTTAGTGACTTTAAGACCAATCCAGCCCTTCCTAATGCTTTTAAAATTCTATTAACTTAATTTTTAATATTCGTTAGTAATTTTGAGGACAGATGGCGCTACCTCCCTGCTCGCTTTACTGTAGTAGGCAATCAATAGGATCGTTGCCCCCGCTGCTTTCCAGTCTTCCAAATTTCTTGTTTACTGAAGAAGAGGGACTTGCTGTTTGCTCTCGAAATCAATTGAGTTTTTTGTCTAAATCGACGTCAAATACAAGGTTGTTTCTTTACTAATTTTAAATTAAGTATTACTTTTATTTACTTAACAGCAAGCTTCGGAATGCAGGTTTTTTCCAATTATTATTTTTAAACATTGAAATCCACTTCAGAAATTCGTGCGGTAGACTCATTTTCTATAAATGGATGACCAGAATTCTCTTTAATTTTTCAAAACATTTCAAATTTTGCTGTGACATTTTCAAATTTTGCTTACGTGTCTGACAATCGAGACCCGTGTAGCCTGCTTCACAGACACCTTCGCAGAATCCCATTATCTTGTCGCAAGGAGTCGTTGAATTTTCGTGACAATGACAGATTGACGCACAGTTGTATCCGAAGCTTCCTGGGGTACATTCTGTAAGAAAGTTGTTTTAAAATATCATTAGAAAAGTATGAATGGCTGGAAAGGTGAATGGTTGGTTGGTATAATGGCACAGAAAAAAACATGTGCTGCTTGTTGAGTATTTTATGTTAATTAAAAGATCATTAGGATTTATACACTTACTATAACTATCTTCTCTTCCGTAGTAATAACTAGAACGCAAATTAGTGGTTGAGTATTTAAGTCAAGGATTTTGAATTTTTCAGAACTTCAGCCCGCGTCGCCTGCAATACGTTTTATCGTCCAGCTCTTCCAGTAAATATCCTGGCTTTAGCAGTTTCGCTAGCTGACGTTAGAACGCGCCATTAAAATATAGAGTAAGATTAAATTGCCTACTTTCTCTAGTCACGACTACGTCATCTTGAATTTGAATCTTCGGTGTCCGCCGAAGACATCGCGGAGAAAATAATGCAAAGCAAAAACGTCGTCAAAAAACGTTATGGGAGAAAAGAAAGTAAGAAGAAAACATCGCAGTTCTGAAACATCATGTTCCAAAACATCGTAGTCGAAACTGTCATGGTAAGAAATAAAGAACTTACGAATCATCGCTTGACGATAGCATCGCAGACATGCTTTTCTCAGGCTTTAAAAATTGTAATTGTGTATTCCCACAATGATTTGTGAGGATCAGCAGAAATGTGGAATATTTTTTAAATTCGAATCTTCCCAGTGATTTATGTCAAAGCGAGCTAGCTTCCGTTAATGTTCCCATGCTGAACTCAGCATAAACAGTGGACCTGCGGTAAAATCACTGAACACTAATAGTGTTCGCCAAATGAGTTGGCTGCATGGCATTTTATTTCCCTAACCTTGAGAGAATACAAGCCAGTTCCTGAGAAAGTTCTCCACAAAGGCATCCCTTCCCTAAAGCAGATAGCGCTAGCTAGTGTGCTTTGCCCTAATTCAATCTCATGCATGTTTATGATTGCTATGTTATTAACATTTACAAACCTATGCTCTTATGCACAGGTTTGTAAATGTTAATGTTAGGTTTGTAAATTCATATCTCCTACTGAAATATTATGTACCTGATATGTTTTATCAAAACTAACAAATCAGCATCGAAAAGATTAACAGCACGATGTACATGAAAATGTTAATGTCCCTTTAAGGGGACTCGTACACCTTAAAAACCATAAGTTTGGTGTATTTAATTACGGCAAAGCACACTAGGGCTATCTGCCTAAGGGGAGGGATGTCTTCGTGGAGGACTTTTTAAGGAAAACTGGCTCGTATACACGTTACACATGGGGAAAACCGCGGAAACACCCATGCAGCCAGCCCGTTCACGGGATTCGAACCTCAGACCGAACTACCAGTGTTCAGCGACTTTTACCGCTCGGCCGCTGGTGGGCCTTAAAAACCATAAGATCTTCGAATAGGTGACTGTTTCAAGAATTGGGATAACTTATTTATTTTAAAAGCAATTACTTCCAACTTTTTACAGCTGACTACATAATATAGCTGCTTTTTGAAATAGTCATCAGAAAGTTTGTGTTGCCACAAATTATTTTATAATTTAATCCGTTTGTGACAAAACATTTTTCGTCATGTTTCCACCTTGCGCGCACAGTTAAAAATATTCGTTGCATAATTTAATTCCATATTTAAGGTATAGCTTTATAACATTCGGAAACTACTGTGAATCTAAAATTCTAAAAAATTTTTGTTAAATTTTTATTTTATTCGGAGTTGAGGTTATAAAATGTATTTTATTAAAAAAATTTGTAATGTTTTCATCCATAAAATTTTTCAGTATTAAAATATTTGTCATATTTTTGGTTCAGTTAGAAAATAGTGCCTATATAAAGAATTCCGTCAAATTTCAAGTGTGTACCATTATCCATTTTTAAAATATCGTGCGCGCAAGGTGGAAACATGGCAAAATATTTTGTCACAAAGAGGATTAAATTACAAAAAGATTTGTGGCAACACAAACTTTCTGGTTACTAGTTTCCAAAGCAGCTATATTATGTAGTCAGCTGTAAAAGGTTGGAAGTAAGTGCTTTTAAAATAAATAAAATATCCCAATTCTTGCAACAGTCACATATTGGAAGATCATGAGGGGTTTAAGGTGTATGAGCCCCCTTAAGAAGATGAATAAATTGAAGCAAAACAGGATTAAATTTTCATTAAAAGAATATCAGATTAATAAGGGCGAAAGAAATTATTCTGGTAGTTTGATAACTAACTGAACAATTTTAATAGAGGTAACTTCAAGTCGTTACTCCTCTTTCTGTTCCTAATCTTTTTTAGATTACATTTTTCATAAAAATAATGCGAATAAAACTGTAGAAAAGAGTTTAATTAATAGCCTGTATTAACTACGTAAGCTTAAAATTGTATTAATTATGTAGTATAAGTAGTAAGTATAATATGTAGCTACAAGTAAATTCAATTTTCTACTCATTTTCAGTTTTAGAATGCTTAAGTTTCCTTCTTATTTTTCTAACAAAATTTATTAGTTAGTTCAAAAATATCAAGTATAAAAGTAAATATTTTCTCATTCCTTCTTGAGCTCACGAATCATTATTAGGCTTTGAGCTGCATTTACAAATTTTGACTGAATATGCATTTACAACTTTTGACTGAAAAATGCGCGTCTGCAGTGCTATCGTCATGCGATGATTTTTAGGTGCTTTATTTTTTACCATGATATTTTCGACGCCGATGGTTTGTAGTGTGATTTTTTAAAACTGCAATGTTTTCTCCTTGCTTTCTTTTTTCCCGTGATGTTTTGTCTTACGATGTTTTCGCCTTGTGTTGTTTTCTCCGAGACGTCTGCTAAAAGAAATATTTTATTATTCAAATTCGATTTACTAAAACTTTCGATGTTCATTTCCGAATCACAGGCTGGAAATGGCTACAGGAAGAGAAAATATCTGAACTCTAATTCCGCGAATTCTTTCGTATCGGAAGGACATTCTTACCCAAAATTCTGTCACCCTTTTCTCAAAACCTAAGAATAGCATTCTTGTGCACATTGCATTGAATAGAATACAACCTATAATTTAGGTTAACGTGCATTTAGGCAGCTGCGAAATATGATTTTGTAGTTAAACTATGGAGACTAATCTTGGGAAATTTACAAATATTACGCTGATTCTTAGTTTTTGACTTCTCCAACGACCCACCCTCTTTGCGGAATTTACTCCCCAAAGCATTTCCCTTCACACGTATTCTCCTCTTTGTCTCTTTTCAATTCAGTATACCACTGTTTGAACGCGGGGAGAAAAATTTTCATGTCAGTGAATTCAAAAGATAAACGCATCGCCCATGTATCTTTCATGTTTCTTCGTAAAGAAAAAGGTGCGCGTTATGTGGAGAATATACCTATAAATTAATAAATGTAGTTTGAAATTATAGGCGCACGTTATACGCCGGAATATGCTGTACTCTAGCGATCACGTTTTAGTAGGCTTGCTCGTATAAGTTCGTTTGCCCTTGAAGATGATAAAGACCCTGGGATTCGATCTTGGACCTCTTTTATGCAAGTCCAATTCTCTACCATTAGCACAAAAAAACTCGAGGGGGGTGTTTGTTCAAGAATTCCGACTCTTTCTAAACTACGAAAGTTTAGTGGCTGCCGAGATGCTACACACTATAAAAAATAATAAAGAGACCAGTGTTTCTCAACCGCCGGTCCATGAACAAGCACCGGTCTGCAAGAAATATTTTCCGGTCCGCAAAATATCCAGCTATCTGTCCAAAATACAAAGCGTCATCGGCCGACAACCGATATTACAACAGCACCTACATTACAATAAAATTTACAATACAATTTATATGAAAAAATTGTACCAATGCGTCGAATTATTAAACTTAACAGTCCACGAGAACATACTGAAACATTTTACCGATCCTTGGAGTAAATTCAGTTGAGAAACACTGACTTAGACTACTATAATAAATCATAACTTAGACAGAACGACTTCACATTCTTACACAAAACGAAAAATAAAAAATCTGATGTGTACTCCACATGACTTCCTTGTACGGAACATTAAATTATACGCATTTTTTCTTGTGTTTTCATTAATCTTATGGATGAATTAAATATACTTCGTCGACAGCGCATATAAACCACAACAGATAAATGCACTCTTAAAATTCCTCTATTTGTTTAATAGCGACCTCTGGCGCTAGGGCACTTAACAGTATCATATTCGTCATATTATAACTCAGAATATACAATATTTATATTCATTTAAATAATTATTAATCGTGCCATGTTCTATTAAAATACTATAAAGGTAGAACGATGTATAAAAAGAAATTAAGCAATAATACAAAAAGAAACAGTTTTGTACAGACGATGAGTATTTCTCATTCAATTAGTTCAGTCTCACTTCGCGACAAGGCAAAAATACATAAAAACGCAGAATCTGTATTAAAAATCCGAAGTAAATCTTAAACAATCGAATGAATTCCAGAATGGATTAAGCATGATTTAATCCGCAATAATAAAAGAAGACGATATATTTGTTGTTGTGAAGCTTAGTTTCTCTACATTGGCAACAAATCACTATTATGCCAAGTTTCAAATGTAAACAAACAGGCCTCCATGGCAAAAATAGTTAGGCTTACCCGCACTTAAACAAGTTGATAATTTTACATTATTGTTGATAATTTTACAAACAATATTGCATACAGGTTTACTAAAGGCATAAAAAAACTTAATCGGCAGATAAGCACAACATAAATCAATCATTTTTAAAGCAAAAAATACACAATTTACAAACATATAAGAATAAAGAAATGAGATCAGCCCGGGGGTAACAGAGTAGATATAATATAAAATATTTTATATACGTGGTGCGGCCGAGCAACCAAAATACGAGATCATCTATATGTTATAGCACTCCTATATACAAATTTCAACGTTCTGAGGTACTCGTTTTGAGTTATGCGAGATACGTTCGTACAGACGCCACGAAAAAATCTCTTCAGAATTATTTTAAAGCAGTTTTATA